CAGCCTTCTAAATATATACCCAAGAAAAATTATAAATCTAAGTGCCCAGTGCTGGTCAACTTTTAATGACTTTAATTAAAAGCAACGGCTCTTGTCCAGCTAATGATCTTGTTTTTAATTTTACCAAAAAAAAAAAAAAAATCTGTTGCAAGCCCAGTAATTTAAATATCCAGATTAATATTTAATTATTCATTTTTTAATTAACAGAGTTTTATGGTTTGTATCCACAGGAATTCCCTCTTCCAAAATTTCAGCAAAGAGGACTTACTACAGGCCCTGTCGAGTAGAATTAGTTGTGGGTGCCTCCTCTTTGAATGCTTTTTAGACTCGGAGAGTCACTGTTGTCTTTGGAATGGTTTAGGTGCAAGGAGAGAAAGGCATGACCAAAACACAGCCACTCTGTTCTCAGGATTCGGTGATCAACTTGCAGCCTTGCCAGTCATTCCCTGACCCTGCCTTTGATCATGCCTGGGTTACCAATATGAGGACCGCTTGAACTTGATCCTCACACAAACCTCGCTAACACCGAAAGTCTTTAGAAAAGGGTCTCATACCATCTTTGAGTAAAGATGTCTTGTACCTTTAATTTTAGGGGTCTGCGTGGAGACTGCCCAAGTATTTATAGGAAAAATGAATTTAGGGGTGAAAATAGAACTTCTCCCAACACACTGCAAAATGCATCTAGGATCACAACATCTGAAACTGATCAGTTTTCCATTGGACTTAAAAATGTGAAGCCTCCTCTTTAAAATGCTAAGAAGGGCCTTCTAAATAACCCTTGCTTGTTGTCTCTCAGCACAGAGTAATTAATTCGTCAGATTATGAATTGTCACTCAGCGAGACCCCAGTGGGACGGTACATTACATTAGGCAGATACGTTTTGGTGAGGAAAAGAGGAAAAAACAAAAATAGTTTGAAATATAGATGGGAGAAGGGGGAGCAAGTATAAGAATTCCATCTGTTGACGAAAGAGCGTCCAAACCTAAAGAAAGTTTCACAAGAGTTTATTTGAGCCAAATTTTGAGGACATGCCCAGACACAAGGATTGAGACAATGCTCTGGAGAATGGCAGTTTTCCAGTTCCTTTTTTTGGGGTTGTTTTTTTTTTAATTTTATTTTTGTTTAAAATATTACAGATGTCCCTTTTTCTCCCCAATGACCCATTCCACCCCACCCCATCCCCCTCCCCAGTCCCTCTCCACACCGTTGTCCCTGTCCTTGGGTTGTGCATATATACATATAAATTCTTTGGTTACTCTCTCCCTCTCCACCCACCCGCCCTCCTCCATTCCTCTGACATTCATCAGTCTCATCTATGCTTTCATGTCATTGAATCTATTCTATTCATCAGTTTATTAAGTTCTTTAGATTCCACATATAAGCAAGACCATGTGATGTTTGTCTTTCTCTGCCTGGCTTATCTCACTTAGCATGATTTTCTCCAGGTCCATCCATACTGTCCCAAAGGGTACGAGATCCTTCTTCTTTACAGCTGCGTAGTACTCCATGGTATGAATGTCCCACAGCTTTTTTTATCCACTCATCTACTGATGGGCACCTGAGCTGTTTCCAGATCTTAGCTATTGTAAACTGTGTTGCCATGTCCAGTTCCTTTTATGCATTAGAATCAAAGGAGGAAACATAAGGAAGGTACATGAAATCTATTGGTGATAGATTAAGGAGGCAGGAGAAAGCAAAGTGGGGAAATCTCTAGGATTAGATAAAAAGCAAAATGGAGTAACTACTTCTTTTACATTAGTGGGTGCAGGACAGTTAATAATTAACATTTACAGCACATAGTAGATGGTAGACGGGGAACAAGGTGACAATGAGGGGCTCTGTGGTCTCGTGCTCTGGTGCCTGCGGTTGTGCCTTCATGCAGTCTAGACAAGAAAATTACTCTGACATTTCAAAGGTATGTTATCCTAGATGCATAAGAACAGTGGACAGGGCTCACTTCAGGTAAAGATTGACCTTTGCTAAGGAAGCTCCAGGCCTGGGACGTGACTACCCAGCATGACCTGCCCAGTTAGGAATTTATGACCAGACCATCCTGTGTGGTTACTTTTGGTCACTGAGCTTGTCAGGCCTGCTCTGTGGCCCCCCTGAGCTTGTCAAGTCTATCGCCTAGCCCCTTTTTCACTCACACATCATTCATTGAGTAAATATTTATTGGGTGCTACATTAAGTGCTGGGCCTACAGCTGGGAAAGGCTAGCGTCTCTGTCCTTCATCTAGTGGATTCAACTGGAATTCATTGAATAACCACAATAATAAATAAATGTAAAATTGAGATGGGGCCTTTGGCTCCCGATGAGAGAGAAGAGAAGGGCTGGAGACACGCTGAAAATAACCGCCTGGAAGCGAAGCTAGTGATGAATGTTTCTGGCTGGGTATGCTCTGCAGTCTGATGTTTATGTTAGTTACATGAAGTTTGTTCATTTCAGGAATGATGGGGATTACAGGATTTGCAAACAGTTCAGGAAAGCTCTGACTTAAATAGTTGTAGTGCTATTAAGATTCCTGCACCCCATGTCAGCTTCTCCTGCTGTTTAGAAAACAACATCAAAGCTCACCTCCCTGGCTCTCTCAACAGTAAACTGAACCAGTTTGTTTTCATGTTAGCATTCACTAAACTGCTTTGGTGTTTCAGAAAATAGTTAAGCCTAAGGCATGAAATGCAAGGTTATTCCACTTCAGCATGCTCTAAGGCTGGGGGAGTAAATGTGGCAGAGAGCCTGTTCTTTTCCCCGGTGATTAAGGAGGATTAGTGGAAACTGTAGAAAACAGGGAGCCCCCAGTTACATCTGCAGAAGTAAAACCCTCCCAACCCCAAAGCTCCGTGCAGCCCTTTTCTCAGGTCACGCTGACTCTGCACTTGCCCAGGTGTTTGAGACAACGCCTGCGGCGTATGCATCCTTTAAGGAATGTTGAAGGGATCAACAGACCTGCTTGAAAAGAAAAGTCAGGTCTTTAGAGGTAAGCCTGTGGATGAAAAAATGAAAAGGCTTCCCCTTCACAATCACCTCTTCATCCAAAGAGAAGAGACAGTAGGATGAGTCCTCCAGCACCTGGGTCCTGAGCAGACCAGAGACAAGCATAAATGCATTGTTTCAAAACATGGTCTTTTGGAACTTGGACCGTAGTTTCGCACAGAAACTTTGTAGTTCTAAGAAAGTCCTCAGAAATTTATTTGGTTCATAATGTAGACACCAACTTCACCTACATTATTATGAGTTAAATGTGTGTTAGAGAGATTATATCGACTTATTGTTGCTCTAATATTTCTGTGGGAACAAGGAAAGTACATGCTGATGTGGAGCTTAAGATGTTAGGCATACTTGTCCCTCACGACCCAATCCTTTCCATCCCAGTCGTTGGCTGAGTAGGGGACAGCCTCCCAGCCTGCTCCCCCAGTGCCCGGCTGCTGGACAAGCACCTCTCTCTGCTCTCACCCAGGGCCTGTTAGTCACCAGGGAGAGGAAATGATGGTGGTTCTGGGGGTTTTCCCACTCTCTGGGGTTCACAAGTGGGTGATGAAGGAGATTTGTTCTCTGTTGCTCCAGGAAGCAGAACTTGGACGCACGGGTGAGACTGTAAGAAGCAGGTCAGTATGAGGATGGCTTCCTCCTGGAGGGAGTGGCCGTGTGCTCGGGCCTCCACGAGTAAGATGGCCCTGGATGCTTGCTGGAATCCCACGGCTAGAGCTGCTCAGCAGTGGGACAGGCGTGCTTTGCACAACAGGATGTGCCCCTCACTAGAAGTCCACAAGTAGATGTTGGGAGGCCAGCTGTGAGGACCAGTGAGGAAGGGACTGCTGCTCTGGGAAGGCAGCCCACTAGAAAATAACATTTTATTGCTTGTCCATTATAGGCCAAGCACAGGGGGTTGGTGGCTCAGGTGTATCCTTCTAAGCCTCACGGAGGCTGTTAGGTGTGATCTCCTGTGGTGCAGATGGAAAAACTGAAGCTGAGTAACGTGCACAGGATTACACAGCTAATAAACGCCTGAGCCCTAATGTGAACTCAGTTTATTGTTTTTATAGTCTCACACTTAATCCTGTACTAAATGTGGTAAATGGTACAAGTTACCTCCATGTCAGACTCACCCACATAGGTGACATTTCTCACTGGGAAGGTAGTGTGCACAGCTCATGTGTGTTTCATATATTCAGGACCTCAAATAGATGTTGGAAATATAAAGGTGCCATAGCCTGAGTGTATGTGTGTGTGTATAAGGAAGAAAAGGGGAGAACTGAAAGGGCTGTTGGCTCCTGTGAACAAGAGCATTTCACTGGGGGATCCCCTCCCCGTTGTAACCCTTTGCTGATCGCCCAGCCCAGTCCTCAGAAGTACCTTTGGGAAAGAAGGACAGGGGATTCAGACAGACACCAGATTGTCTGCTGAGAAGTTTAAAATAGAAAATGTCCAGACCTTTGAATGTATTACATTTTAGGCATGTTAAAATATTCAACTCTTCGTTCTCACACAGTCTTCGGTTCTCCCACTGCTTGTTCATTTTCAAACCCTGACCATGTTTATTTCTGCTCCTGTGGGAAATTCATGATTCCCCGTTAGTATTTTCATCTTTAAATGTTCAATTCATCTAAATGAAACAAAAGGATTCAGAGACTGTCACCTTAATAATCCTACGATTATGGATACCAGCATCATTTCATAGCCATCAACCCTCTTTAGCAAAAGGCCCCAGGCTGCTCTGTGGAAAGCCCTCCTCCGATATTTCCACATGGTCAGAGTAGTCACCTCCACCTGGTCAGACATCACCTTCTGCCCCTAGGGAAGGTATCAAAACCCACCTTGCAGCCCACTACCCTCCCGCCACATAGCTGGGTTTTACTTTGGGTGGTTCCTGCCCGCCCTGGAAGTGTGATGAGAGGGGCAGTGGCGGAATGAGGGGGCATCCCTCACCCTGCTGTATGTGGGCGCCAGGCAGCCTCCTGGTTCTAGGGAGTGGAAAGCTGACCTCTTGACGCTTTTACAGCCTCCTGCTCGGTGGACTTGGAGAGGCCTTGCTGGTTTTCTCCGAGCGGAAGGGCACCTAAAGATGACCACAGGAAAACAGACTCAGCAGCCACCAGCTGGAAAAGACAGTCCTCTGGCCGCGGAGGTCCTTGCTCAGTGTGTTAGAGAGAAGAAAGCGAGGACGGTGAGGCTACCGCGTCTCGCTGCGTCAAGAGCTCTTTCTGGGGGTCTCCGCGCTGCTGCAGGGAATGGGCTGTGCTGTGTCTTCCTCTTCGAGACGTTCACCTGAGTCGTGCTATTTTCAGTTTGCAGACAGAGGGACCAGATTTCCCCTGTGCGGGGGTTGGCTCCGCTCGCCTTAACTGACATGCAGGCCTCCTTATTAAACGCCCTTCACCAAACACTGCTCTCGCTCCGTGGGCCCAAGGGATTTTGTTGCATTTTTGGTTTCATTTTGTGTTTTTACATCTTTGGAGCCTCCTGAGGACGTCTTTCCTCACTCTCATGCTGCCTGATCTAGAGCCCTCTCTCACCCACGCACAAGAACTCCTCACGAGGGTTTCGCGTGGGCAGAGGGGGAGCTCTGGGCCGAGTAACAAGCCGGCAGGACACTAGTACTCTAGAGCGAGTGCCGGAGCCTTTTTGTGGTTTTGTGTTGTATGAAATTCTGCACACTTTTTTTTTTTTCTCCTCACCATTCAGTTAACTTGATACTAAATGATCACCAGAGAACAGAGTTATAAGCACTGATGGATGTCCTCCCTGGGGAGGTGAAAAAAAGAAACAGACATTTAACATATGGATACACACACATTTATATCCCTATTCCTTCAAACTTTTAATCCATTTAATTCCCAGTATCTTAGAGTAGATTTCAAATCGTTGAATACTGAAGTATATTTTTCAGGCCAATTAAAAGTTGGATTAAAACTCTAAACCTTGCCTCTATAGGAGTCAAAAGAAGTTAATTTAAATGAAATGGTTATTTGATTCTGAAGTCACAGTGAAAATTTAAGAAAATAATGTTTAACTCCAAATATTTCTGTTCAGAGTAGGTTTTTTGAATACCTCTATGCTCTGCCGGGGGTCAGTTTTGGTCATTTTGAGATGTAGAAGGTAGTGAAGTCCAGTGAGTCTTCTCCAGGCAGGAGACCAGGCCCTGGAGGGTGGGACACCCACCACCCACATTGTCGATGGCGAGCCCCCCTCAGCACCTGGGAAGTGAGCCTTGTCCATTCTCAGCCCCATGAAGAACAGAGTCGGCTCAGTCAGTGGCCATTCTTTCTGCATGTTTTCTCCAACATGTTGAGAAAAGAAAAAGAAAAGAAAACATAGGAATGGACTTGTATATTTGGAATTTGAGTACCTTAAATTCATTTCCTGGTCTTTTCCTGGTCTCTGCTTGTCATTTAGGTGAAGATCTTCAGAGTGACCTTAACACACAGGTAGTTTCAGTTTCCTTTGTTCTTACCTGGGATGCCAAACTTTCTATAGATTGAGGTCAAACAGAAAATCCGGGTTTAGAATTTTCCTTATTCTTTGACTCCCACGAAACTCTCTCTGTATAACTGAGGCCAGTTCTTTTCCATCTGTGGAAAGTGGCATCTGTCCAAATGTCATCTTACACCTGTCTTTCCAAGTGGCATTTATGCTACAGAGATTCCTAAGGCTGGAAAGAACCTCGTACAGTTAACAAGCTCAGGCCCCTCTTTCCAGCAGGACTGACCTCAAACACTTTGGCTGAAAAGTTGTAGACATTTTTTTAAGAAAGAATCTCTAGCAAGGGTTTTTGCTGTTGTTTTTGTTTGTTTGAGTTTTTAAAAATCATGTTCCAGAATCCCATTGTTTCTAAAAATCTCTGATTTCTTACTTTGACATCAGCAAGAGGCAGTGGATAAAGTGTTTCTTCAGTATTTCATCCTGTTTCCTTCAACTTCTATGTCTTTTTGACTTTTTTCTTCAAGCTTCAACCACCACTTTTTATGCCCAAGTTCACATGCTCAGCTCTGAATGCAGAGTGAGCCCAGAGGTCTATAAAACTAGGGGCTGGCCCAGGTCATTGCAGTCCCATAGCTCTCATTTTCTGTAGCTCTCTGGACCCCAGGGCCCCTCCAGATAATCCTAGCATTTCCTTTTACCTGGAATGATCCATTTGGTCATGTCCTCTCTGGGTCCTGATTACCTGAGGACTTGTTGGCTGCAAGTCAAAGTGATTTTTTAAATTATACAAATAAAGAATATGCTTTCTGTCAAGAGAGGCAATATTCTGTATGATTGTGTATTTTTACTAATCTGCTATGGATAGAAGGAACAGTAAACCACTTGTATATATATGTGTGTGTATACACACACACATATGTATAGAGAGATAGTTAGAGAGTGTGTGTGTATGGAAGGGAGGGGGAGAGGAGGAGGGAAAGAGAGAGAGACACATACATCGATTGGTTGCCTCCCTCACGTGCCCCTACCAGGGCTGGGGATCAAACCTGCAACCCAGGTAAGTGCCCTTGACTGGGAATAGAACCCACGACCCTTTGGTGCATGGGCTGATGCTCTAAACATTGAGCCACACCAGCCAGAGCTATATATATATATATATTGCAATTTGCCTTTCTCTTCTCTTCAACCCCAGCAGGAGAGTATTGCAGAAAAGGTTGTCATACTTGGGGAGAGGGTCCTTACATCTTAAGTACAGGCCAAGACTTCTACCAATATCCAGGCCACATATCTCTCAATAGGAAAGGCCACCCAGCTCCTCCTCCTCGACCTGTGCTGCTCAGCAGGGACGCATGTGGCTACTGAGCACTAAAATGGGCTGGATCCAAATCCAGATGTGCTGTGAGTGTAAGTGCACACCAGTTTTGAAGACTTAGTTTTAAAAAGGATGTAAAATGTACTAATTTTTGCCTGGCCGGGCGTGGCTCAGTGGTTGAGCATCGACCTAGGATCCAGGCGATCGGGGTTCGATTCCTGGTCAGAGCACATGCCCGGGTTGTGGGCTCGATCAATGACTCTCATCATTGATGTTTCTATCTCTCTCTCTCCCTCTCCTTTCCTCTTTCTGAAATCAATAAAGATATATTTAAAAAAATAAAATATACTAATTTTTATACTGATTACATGTTAAAATAATATTTTTGATATATGGGGTTAAATAAAATGTATCACCAAAATTACAATTTTCTGTTTCTTTTTACCTTTTTTATGAAGCTACTACAAAATTTTAATGTATATATATTTGGTTCACATGATGTTTCCATTGGTCAGTGCCCGTCTAGAGCAGGTCTTCTACACTAGGCTCTGGGAAGTGGCTAAAAGGGGGTTGGATGTAGCTTCTGGGGGTACCAACCATGAATAATATTTAAAACACTTGTAAATGAGTACTTGTTATATGCCAAGCACTGTGCTAGGTACTTTTGATGCATCTTGTCATTTATTCTTCCCAGTGGTGGGCAGACAACATTCTTTCCCATTTTACCAAGGAGACTCAGAGTGTCTCAGCAACTTGTCCAGGGTGGCCCAGCTAGGACTCGAACCCAGCTCTTTCTGATTAAGCCTATTCACTTTAGAGAGTTCTGTTAAGAAGGAGAAATGAAGGCCCCCACATTTTACAGGGGGTGGTCAGTTCTCCAAAGAGTGCTTCCATGTGGAGTCCTAAAATCTGTGAGGTCGTTTGTGACTTTCTCCCTGGAGGCCACCTTCCCTCCCTTTGCCAAAGGGCAGGCTCTGTGACCTGAGTCCCAGCTGCCTTCCCAGAGTGTCCCAGTCCCTCCCACCAGCCTCCTCCCTCAGGTTGTGTCTGAGATCCACCCTGCGTGGGGTTGGAGCAACTTGAAGTACTTAGGGAATGGCACTACTCTCACCTGAACTATAGCTCTGAATGTTTCCAGAACAACCAGCCCCTGCTGAGCTCTCAGGCTTTGTGCAAGGAGGAGAAGGCAGACAGAAGGTGAGTAACTTCCCTGAGGTCCTTGGCTAGTTAGAGGGGCAGGAGGGTTTGGAGGAGGCCATCTGACCGTGCAGCCTGCCTCTCAGCTCCCATGGCGGTCTGCCCTGCCCAGGTGAGTGGACAGGGGACCCCTGTGAGCAGAGTTGGAGGTGACGAAGTCTGGTCATGCCCAGGCAATGACCACTGGAGTGGCAAAACCAAGGCTTGTGAGAGGCCAGGAGGTGAGGTGGGCCAGCCTGGGGTGTGATTTGAACTCTGGAATGGGATAAAACATCTGTGGGTGCCCGTGAAACTCCAGACATGGTACAGGTGCCTCCCACACTTTATGTCGTCTACTTTTCACACCCTGAATAGTCCAACTTATAGATGAGGCCTCTAAGACCTTGGCTGGATAGGCAACCTCCCCAAGCTCACCACTGCTAAGCAAAGATTCCAAAGTTGTTCTTACAGCCGGTTTGCCCTGGCCCCTCCCCATATGATGGGCTGTCTGTGGGTATTGCCCTCCCCCTTTACCCCCAGAGGAGCCAGGCACCCCACTGGCAGCCTCACTCAGGGCCCAGGGCAGTTTGCTCACTGCGGGTTGCTGGCTGCCTGCGAGGCTGCTCCTGGGTCTTCTGAACTGGGTAGCAAACCCTTGGGAAGGCCGAGCCCATCTGGAGCTTGAACAGGTTTCCTCTGTCCTGGAAACATTTCAGAGACTTCCCGTGCTGCCTGGTGAAATGAGAGATTCTTTGTTCCTGCCGTGAGCTGATTTTCGGTGGTCTTACTGGCAGCGGCTTGCCCTTAATAAAATAAACGGTGGCATGTAAGCCTTCATCCAGTTCCACCCAGCACCCACTGGGGAGTGGTCTGAGGAACTGGCCCACTCCCACCCCCCAGCTCTCCTGGCAGCTGAGGGTGGAATCCCATTTAAATAATTGCCCGAGCCAAGAGGAACATTGGAGTCATTTATTCCCCTCTTGCTGTGCGAAAAGGCCACAGGGCTAGCAAAGGCAAGGCTATTGTGCCCATTTGTCTTCACACCTGTCACTAGGTGCACCTCAGGGAGAGCAGTGGAGCCCTTGGAAATTCGGGGACTTAATCCAGACACCATTCCTGGGCCAATGGGTTTACATGACAAATAGAAGTTAAGGGGAGCTGTTTAGTAAAAAGGGCTCTAAGTCAGAAACAGAACCCCAAGTTCTGTCCCAGGCTGTCTCACCATTCTGGCGAGTGATATCTCCTCATTCCAGCACTCAGCACATACGATTGAGTGTCCACGGGGGCCTGTCTTTGTTTTCTCCAGCAGAGCTGAGCCACCACCCTAAAGAAGCCAGCCACTCTGTTAATGGAGGCTGGGCTCTTCAAATAGGTGAGGCCTCAGGCAGACTGCATCCCAGGAGAGGAGGTGGGAGCTATCCCTGAGGCAGAATCTCCCTTGTTTTGGCTGGAGCAGCACTTGTTTTGGCTGGAGACTTTCTAGGTGATTGTAGACCTAAAGCAAATGCACATTCCTTGTTCTCACGGAGGCCCTGAGCCTGCAAGAAGACCCAGGGGTTGAAAAAATTAAAAACACACCATAGCTTTATTGAGATATAACTCATGTGCCTTAAAGTGCACCCAATAAAAGTATACAATTCAGCAGTTTTTAGTATACCCACAGAGTTCTGCAACCATCACCACTAATTTTAGAACATTTTCATCACTCCCCACCCCCACCCCCTAATAACCTCCATTCTGCTTCCTGTGTCTGTGGATTTGCTTCTTCTAGGTCCCTCATGTAAGTGGAATCATTTGTCTATTTGTGTCTCTCAGCCACAGTTTTGTTTTTAGACACCTGAAAAGCAGCCCACCAGGGATCTGAGAATTGTACCTTTAAAAAAGCTTTATTGAGAGAGAGAGAAACATCAATTTCTTGTTCCACTTATTTATGCATTCATTGGTTGATTCTTGTATGTGCCCTGACTGGGGATCAAACCCACAACCTTGGTATATCAGGACCATGCTCTAACCAACTGAGCTACCTGGCCAGGGCTGGGAGTTGTACTTTCTTTCTTTTTTTTTTTTTTAAATATATCTTTATTGATTTCAGAGAGAGGAAAGGAGAGGGAGAGAAAGAGATAGAAACATCAATGATGAGAGAGTCACTGATTGAGCCTGCAACCCGGGCATGTGCCCTGACCGGGAATCGAACCCCGATCACCTGGGTCCTAGGTCGACACTCAACCGCTGAGCCACGCCCGGCCGGGCTGTACTTTAATACCCATCACCTCCACCTCCCTCCCCCCCCTTGGCCTCGGGGTAAGCATATCCCTGACAGTATCAAAACTCCAAACAAAACTAAACAATCTTCCTGACCAAGCTCCTGAACAGGGGCTGTGAGGCCATCCACTCTGCATAGTCCTTTCTGCCTTCGGAGTCCAGCTGTTCCCATGTATTGTTCACCACCAGTGTGCTCTCCCTCTGGTCAGGTGGGGAAGCCGTGGTGCACTGAGGTCACTATGGGCCTTGGGTTTTCTCACCAACCCCAGGTACAGGGCCCCTGCAGTAGCCCCAAGGTGCCCAGCACAGAATAAGCTGTAATTGTGACTGTTGATATCCTTACCACCATTCAGGGTGTCTTTCCATAGTGGTTGGCTCTCTGCAGCAGGAGACTGGAGTGTGTGAGTAAATGGAATGCGGCAATGAGGTAAAGTGACTTTAAAATCCACCAGCACTTACATATCCAAGTGAGTGTGGACCATGCCGTCACCCAGAAGTCCCTTCATTCGGGCAGTAACAGAATGGCTGGTTCGCTTTCCCAAACTCCACAGCTATTCCAAACACTGTCACTCTCTCCAGAACCCTTCCTCCTTGTATGCCCTCCCCTTCCCATTTACAAGGGCCTGAAAAGCAAGATAGAAGCTGTCAGATGAGAACTTTCGCTTCCCACTCATCCATACAAATTGCTCCCGTTGGCAAGTGTCTCCCGTCTTTTTGCAGTGGAGCAGTGCTCCCGCTCAGCCTAACACGAATCCCTCTACCTCTGCGCATTTTGATTGCAGTCCCCTGCCTGCTCAGGAACCCGACCATATCTCTTTTTCGACTGCCTGACCCTTCCCTCTCAAGAGTGGCAGCCCTGGCGAACGCCAACCACGCTGGAATCCGCCTGTGACCCTCGGCGTGTGCTGAGGGGGGATGGGGACAGCAGGAGAGAGGCGTGGGGAATGCAGGGCCGGGGTGAGAAACCAGCCTCCCTTTTCCCAGCTGGAGACGGTGGCGTTGAATAATGGCAGACTCGTGCCAGTGAACCTGTGGGGCCACATCTCTTTTCACAAGATGAGCTCCGGT